CTCTAGAGGACACTCTGCTTTTCTCTTCATTTTTTCCGCTAACGTGGAAATTGTATTTTAAAAGCTGGTTTTTACAGTATTTGAGGACGGTTTTGCGGTATCCAAAGTACTGTTTGCCCTGCCCTGGGTGTTTACTGAGGTTGTGTGTTTCACGAACCTTATTGGGGTGCACAGCTTTTCGGCGCTGTTATTCACTGCGAATATCCTTTGCATCACTAAGATAATAAGGATTAATTTCTGTTAATCATTGAATTCCTAATAAAGGTGGCATATCAGTTAAGTCCAGAAGCTGCTGTTTAGTCTAAGAAGTAATTGCCTGATATTTAAAAGTACAAAGCTCATGTGCCACATCTCTTATTTATGAATAATACAAACCACACTTAAATATTTGCTTCATCTTGCTTCATACAAATTCTTTATCCATTTTGTCTAATGCATAAATGTAAGCCAGAAGGTTCTCACTGTAAACTTTCCTGTTCCTGCTTCTGGCCTTGGGTTACAAGAAAAACAAAACAACGACTTGTGTTACCTTCTCCTAAAATTCTTGCTGTCGGCCCTTTCTCAAGCACTGTCGTTGTTTCCTGGGCGGTGCAGGAGACTTTGTCCCATTCCCGTGCAGCTCCTGCTAAACCTCTCAGCAATCGCATGCAGCAAACCGTGCTCTGAAATACTTAGGCTTCGTAGTTTGAAGCCCGGATCCTGGTACCGGAGGTGATCTGACGGTCACCAGCTTGCGCGGCAGAGGGGAGGCACTGGCGTCTGTTGTCGCATCGCATCGTCTCTGTCCCTTTCGGTTCACGCGGTTTAGGATTCTGTTCCCGTGTGATAATCGTAGGCGATGGCGCCGAGAGGGGATTTATTGTCAGGAATTCCGGCGGAAGGTGCAGCCGTCACTCAAGACACTGAGCATTAAGCTAAATAAAGAGTTAAAAATCAATGTAAGTCTGGACGTGTTTCAGTGGTTGTTGATGGAGTTGCCTGGATGTGTCTGCGTTAAGGCTGTTAAAGGTTTCCGCTGTTAATAGCAGAAAAGGCTTTAGTAGCATTGGTATAGAAAGAAAATAATGACATAAAGTACTTAAACTTAGGTAAGTGAATAGGTGTGAATTGTTTGTGATTCCTTCAGATTCAGTAATTTGGGAGGGGAAAAGTCACAACTTACAAATCTTTGCATTAGGAAAGGAAAATGAAAAGGGGGGTATGGTTTTGCCTTTCAGCACATTAAAGAGCAGCAGCAAGTGACCTGTTTGTCCCTGGATTAGGGGTGGGGTGGGGTCTTCCCCTGGTGCATGTGGAGCCCTGGACAGCCTCCGTGTCTTCTAAGAGGGGTGAAGTGGCTGATGGAAAAGCTGCTAACGTGCAGGAATTCACCATTCCTGTATGCTGTGGCTGCATCTTGCCTCATGGCACACTTGTACTGGGAAGCTTAGTATCCACTAGGAGAATAGAAGTTGATTGAACTCCTCCGTGTTTATTCAGAATTGAGAGCTTCAGGATTAATCTAGCAGGAGGTTGTAAATAATGTTACTTTGCAGCATGGAGTAGTTGTTTGCTTGTTTTTATTAACTCGTTCTCTGTATTTTTCTTTTGATTTGCAGTGAAATAAAGAGAGAAAAGAGAGTCCCCTCACCGGACGTTATAGTGTTGTCTGACAATGAACCTTCTAGCCCTAGAATGAATGGTTTAACAAAAATAGCATTAAAAGAGACCAACACGGAGGCACTCATGGTGAGTCATCTTGTCTTGACACTTTAAGTTGTGCCATCTAGAAAGAAGAAAACACACCACTTGCTCCTGCAGAGGCACTTGCGATCACAAGGTCAGGTGGATATGTGGTTTTATGAAGATGGATTTGCAAGCAGGGCATCCTGAAGCTGTTAAAGGCTGATGTCTTTTTTTCAGGCTCTTACCTCCTTGATTTTTATATGCTTCAAAAGTGCACCTTTTTCAGAATTGGCTTTTTAGTGGACGCAATGCCCTTTATTCACTATGGCATAACACAGATTTGTTGTCCAGATCTTCACTCGACTTGGTTTACTTGTTTTGCTAGTGAAAGTATCTCCAAAACTTTTTTCTTTTTTTTTTTTTTTTCTTTGCGTTCTTTCTCCATACTCGGCTTGTGTCCATATATTGCAGGCATGTTGGTGATATTAAGACATGCATGACAATTACAATGCTGTGGGTTCTTGTTGTAACTTGTATGGTATCTATCTTTTCCCTCTCCCCCCTCCCTCTTCTCCCATCCTCTATTGCCTTACCTGGCCCTGCAGAAAAGCAGTCCAGAGGAGCGTGAGAGAATGATTAAACAACTAAAAGAAGAGTTACGGTTAGAAGAAGCAAAGCTCGTTTTATTGAAAAAGTTACGGCAAAGTCAAATCCAGAAGGAGACCACTACTCAGAAGGTATTTATTTTCATACAGATATTTATCATCTCATCTCTGGAAATGGAGGGAGGGAAATACAAATAACTGTGGTGGTTGCCATAACCTTTGGAACATAAGATAGCTATCAAATAAAGCATATCTCACTTTTCGTAAAATCTGTATGAAGTTTATAGTGGTTTATCCTGTTAACTATTCCTTTTTGTGGAATTCCTTTTTTTGTCTTGCCAAGACCAAACGACAAGACAGTTTAGCCTATCAACTGCATTCAAAAGTTGAAGACTTTTTTGTTAAAACTCAGATGCATTTATGAACGTAATATACTTCCGATTATTAAGCACTCCGTCCAGTCCTTAATGTCGCGTAGAGATTGCCGAGATACATTTGGAGGAGATTTGTGCGCATAATGAATGTGCTGACAGGTAGAGTTAAAGCGTTTGAACCCCAGGCTCTGGGAGCTGGCGGCCGAGGGCTGCGTTTTGTGCTGCGTGGCAGAAGCCCAGGTCTGCATTCCAGGTCTTACCAGGTGAAGTAAGTCTGCAGTTAGCCACACGCTTCCATCATCCAAAAATCCAGGCAGCCCCTGGAAGGAATGGTTCAGCCCTCCCACCCTGAACTCCCTTCCCTTCCTTCTCTTTTCTCCCCACCCCTCATCTCGCACAACCACGCGCAATATCCGGAGTGCTGGGAGGAGAACTGTTTTCATCGGGGAAAAAAAGGTCTACCTTTTTGTCCGAGCGGTCGCCTGGTCCGCTCGCTACGTGTGCCGTTCGCGCTGGCACTGACGGGTAGGGGTGGAGGGTGGCGGAGGGGAGCAGGGAGGTTGGGAGGCGAGTGGGCGTGCGAACACCCCACGCGCTGCTATCGAGGCACAGGCTAAATTTCAAGTATCTGTAACAATGGCAACTAAATGATTTTATCTTACAGCATGTGATACTGACTTGATGGATCTTGTGACGGGGGCGATGCATAGATTTGAGTGCACTTCACGGTGCAGATGGGTGTTAATACAGCTCTCTTGGCTGCTTTTGGTTGTTTTATTGTCGTCTTTCTCCCGGACTTCTGAGTGCTTCAGTAGATGGGATTAAAACTAATGCAAATACCTGCATCACTCAACTCGCTGCTGAACGCTGAGCCATGAGCTCTGGATGTTTGAACTAACTAGGGTGAAATGGCATGTTCTAAACTTCTTAATATCTGAAGTCTTTTTCCTAAACTTTTTTTCACTTTGCATTATGCTTGAACCTAGTTAGTTGAGACTAGTAGTAATGGTGGATAAGACTGAAGTGGGCTCTAAGCTGAGACTGCTGAAATAATTTCCGCATTGCTCTGCTTTTGGTGTTACAGACTCCTTTATTTTCCTGGTATAATCTTATCTATCCTTACCTAATAATTTCTTCATTTAAATACGTATGTTGAGATGCTTGGAGGAAGAAAGGGATGGGGGAGGGGGGAAGCCACAGTCTTTGAAGATTCTCTTACTGAGGCACAAGGAGGTAAACGCTTTTATTCCCTTAGCTTCTGTAATTCTGCTTACACCCTTACACTCGTCTGCTTTCTTTCTGGTTTTTCCTCTTCCAGCCTGCTGGTTCCTCTGGGAGTGCTGTGGCCACCCCTCCGCCCTTGGTGCGGGGACCGCAGAGCGTTCCTGCTGGCAAGCCGTCCCTCCAGGTCAGTGGGGCGGGCCAGGCTGCCAGGTTTAGGGCATGGAGCAGAGAAGAAGGTGCGCAGTACAGGAAAAACAGTCTCATCACGTTAATGGCCTGGAGCCAGGTGGAATTTTTTTTTTTTTTTTTTAAACTCCCGAAACCCCGCTATAAGCTTTTTAAGAATGATTGGGGTGGGAGATAGAAGTAGGATGTCACACGGAGATAACTCTCATAAGCTTATCTTTCAGCGGCTGATCATCCTGATCCACTCTGCCGATAAATACGTCCATGCTAGTACTAACGACCTTTGGCGAAAGAGGATGCCGTTTTATGTCATAGAAATATTGTGGCAGCCTGTTGCCGTACCCTCAGGAGACTTAATTGTGCCCTCAGTATGATTAACTGTAAAAGCTGAGTGAATCATATGATTTTCTCTTTTGGCTTGGTGGCTGAATGGCACGTGATGGTAGGAAAGATCTGGGTTCAGGCTAAATTAAATGCAACGTTGGAAAGCCTTGAGGAAGAAAAAAAAAAAAACAAAAAGCAGAGGTAATTGATATCTGTCAACCGAATCTTCCTCTTGATTCTAGTATCTTGTTTTGCTTTCGGGTGTAAAACATTTCTGGTTATTTACCTTGGGCTAATTCGAAACAAATCTCAAAATTGCTTCAGCACAAAATGCTTTCGCTTGGAAAATGGCAACTCTTCATTTCAAAATCCCCTAGAATGCTATACTCGAGGGAAGGGGTAAATTTGCTATCCATTTAGGAAACATTCACAAAACCTAAAGCAATCTGTCAGTTGGAGTAATCTCTTCCTTGAGGCAAGTTGCCTTCACTGAAGACAGCACTTTCAGAGGAACTGGACCACAAGTTAAATCTTCAGCAATCAGACAGTGAAACTTCAGTTGGACAGAGCAGAGAGCTGGGAGCTAAGAATCCAGAATTGAAGTTATTCTGTCTAATTTGCGGTGTTTGGGCAAATTAACCTAACCTCCAACTGCTTTTGCTTGACTGTAAAAAAAACTCTACTAATTCCTGTGTGTAGGAGTTGAGTTAACATTTGGTCTTCAGTTGAAAGGCGTAACAGAAGTGGATAAAACTTCCCACCTGCCTAAATATGTGTGCGTGTACACATGGTAACTCATGAAAGCGGGAGCTTCACAGCTTTTAGAAGTCTTTGTTCACAGATGATGGTCAGTTTGGGGCTTGAGTGAGGGAAGTGGCAAGATCTGTAAAGCCCCATGAATAGGGTGGAGAGTTCTGTTGCTCTTGAGCTCTGAGTGCTTCTCAGGCTCAGTTGCATAGCGTTAGTGGTCTGCAGGAAT